TTGCACATAGTGAGGAATAATCAATTGCAACTTTGCAGCCAAGGGGATGGGTAACTGTAGACAGTCAAATATCATAATGTTGAGGAGAAAACAAAATACAATGTGGAATGAGTAAGAAACTGTAGAGGCTGTTACATGGGAGGGGTTGCATTGCTGAATATAGGTAAGGCTTCATGTACAGAGCAATACAGGAGAAGAAAGAGGGGAGCAACCAGCAAAGAGGAAAGGCAGAGGTAAAGGAAAGTTGGAACTCTGAATGAAGTGGGGTTGATTTGCAAGAAGGAAAGTGTGACGTGAGGATTGATAAAATGCTTCATTTCAAACTCACCATTCCTGTCAGCATTCATCAATGCCCGTGTTTACTTATTTGCTGGGATTTTAGAGTTGAGAGGTGATCCCAGGATGTCTACTTGTTGCTCATATGGCAATCATTCTTAAAACTTACTTACCTGTTCCAGACAACTCCCACATTGCAATTGTTATTCATCTACCTTATTAAACAGGGTACAAACGTATCTTTGAGCTGGACTGCATAAACTGTCTTTATTGCTCTGATAGATTTCTGCACTGAACTAGAAGGAGCTACTAAGTCTCCTTCAGTCATTTCTGGATCAACTTTTTCCAGTGTACAAAACCAAAAATGTGACTGATCTTATAGCAGGTTATGATTCACCACCTAAAATTTTGACATTTCTCTGGTGCAAAGAACCTTGTACACCAAACACCATCTCCCTGTTAGGCTTCAACCTGCTGAAAGATCAATAGAGGAAGTCTGAACAAGAACATAAGGCAAACTTGAAATAAAAGAATTCTGGATATATTTACTACAAAACTTCTGCACCCAGGGATTACTACACAGCCATTCAGATAGTACCTGCTGAATCATGGCACTGAAAGACGTGTACACATAAATACAGGTTTCTGGAGTACAGCTGTCTAAAGATCCACCAGAAAAATACCTAAACATCGACTAGAAATCCAGTAGATAATGCCAAAATGTAGAACGTGCATGATCTGACCTCAGGGCACCCAGATGCAATTATGTGTGATCCATCTGAAAAGAAGCTCTGTACAGTCTGCATAGTTCCACAGACTATGAATAATCTCAGATTATAACACAAATTCACTACTCTGTGACTTCCAAAAGAGCAGCACTTGACTTTCAAGAGGACAACGGTGTTTAGGAATTGCAATATTGGGACTGGTCAGCAGAGGGCAAGGCCAGCATCAAATGTGGGATATTCAAAGCAGAGGTGCTTGCGCCCTATCCCTCTCCATGGTACGCTGGGCTTGACCAGCTCGGGTAGTGAACAGGTTCAGACCTTGTGCATCCCTTGTGCTCACCAAGACAAGACTCTCTGAGGCCATAACTTGGGATGTTTCCTCTCCTTACAGAGAAGGTGAAGGTGACAGAAGATATCAAGCTTATAAACACACAAATCTCAGTGCAGAGTGAACTACAAACACCCTGCACAACCAAGACATCTGTCAACAGCATTCAGTCAGTCCTCTAGACAGGTAAAAGAAGAAGAGCTTTTCCAGGCATCATTTCACCCCCGTGCTTCCATCTGTTCACCACTTCATTGAATTGTGGAGCACCACGTACACACTTTCTCTAACGGGGTGTTATTGAAGACATCTATTTTCCTTGACACCCTGGCGCCATGGCGTAACTGAGTTAGGAAAGTAACACCACATCAAGACAAATGTGTTTTGCAGCATCAGTAACAAGACAGATGCCAGAGGAGCTGTGTTTTGAATGGGTTTTTTTGCTTTGATTTGTAACCAAGTCATATACCAGCCTCAGCTACAGGTGACTGAGCTAAGTTGAAAACTATAGCATGAGACATGAGAACTAGTCATGTGCAAAAGTACCATGCAATTAATGTCTTGTTTCATCAAAGTAAATGAGCACTTCAGTGATCAAGAGAACAAGCAAAATTATTGCTATTGTATTTGAGGTTTGAAGAGGCTCTCTTATACTGTATTACATGAAAGAAAGTTTTTTATCACAATTTCATTAGAATTACCTAGGAGCATGATTTCCATACTTACCAAGCACTTTATTAAGCAGGGGCCTACTTGTGGGTATGAAGCTAAGCATCTTCACTACTAAGGTAACACCTTTCTATCTTCCCCCTCTGTGAAAAAGGGTATGGCTACTTAGACTCAACATTTTGCTATGATATTCTGTGCATTTCTGTTCAAAATCATCCACAGTGCCTATTAATCAACCTGGATACAACCCCAACTTTCCAACGAAGCTAAGTGCTCATTATCTGGGCATTTGTCTGAACTTTTTCCCAATGCCTATGTTTAGAACAAATAATGACATAAATGACCATAATAGACCAGTAATGGTTGTTGAGTTTACCTTATAATCCAATAAGACACTTCATCATTGAAAAAAATCTTATTTTCTGATTACATGAATGCATCAGTATTTATCAGTGTAATTAATGCTACTCCAGTAAATGTCTAACTACTCCTCAGCATATGTTTTGCAAAACCAGGTGCCAAAACTAAGTTCTGCATTTTTCCACTCTCAGAGTGGCAACACCTCTAAGGAAAAAAACCAAACCCACAATAAATCAACTTTTCTCCTTGTTCTAGCCCCAGGTTTCTGAGGATCTGTAATTTCACTGTTGATGGGTTGTAAGGCAGCGGTGAAGAACCATAACTGTGTTTATTCCCTTTTCAGCAGCAGAACATTTGATCTGTTGGTGGCCCCTGCCAGGGCTGGTTCAAAGCTTAATGAGATGCATTAACTTTTAACAAGTGTTGTGGAAGAAAGAATATGTCTAGAAAATATCAGTAGTGCTGTTGTGTACGTAACAGGACAGCAGGTGTAAATGCAGAGCCAGAACAGCCAGAAGTATCCTGACATTCTTCTTGCTTGACAAGTTTTATAGTGTAAACAAAAGAGTATCACCCAGTTCTTCCTGCCAAAAAGGGAATTACTCTTTGCTTTATTCTATTGTGAAATACTACCTCACACAAAATTTACATTCACTTCCTGCTGACATTTATGCTGCTCTTTCCTTCATGTATCTATCTCTTATTCTATTTTTACAACATTTTCATCTCCATTCTCACATCTCACTGTTTTTCACCACTTCAGAACTATTTGTCTCAACAACAACTTCTGCTTGACCCTTTTCTCTGTCTGCTGCCCCAGCACAGAGCATCCTGATACAGAGGAAAAAGGCAGTGAATGTGTATCACGGCAGGTTCCAGCCAGGCTGCGCCCGGTGGGGTGCTGGGGCCAGGATAACTCAGTGGAGGCTCAGACCAGGTCCGATCTCCCAAGCCATTCCTAGCTGCAGGCAGCCAAGCAAGCTCAAGTGATTTTAGCTCTTAGCGATTATAGCTCTGTGATTATCAGCTCTTTTGGCTTGCTTATGGCCGTAAGCAGCAGACGCAGGGAGAGGAGAAGGCGGTGTGAGGTTCCAAAGAATTCTTTATTAGGGTCTTCCACGAAGGGTCTCAGTGACAGCTCTTCTGCCGAACCAGGCAGAATTAGGGGTTTTCATACCCTACAGGGGTTTTGGAAATTGTCCAATAGAAAGGGTCAGGGGAAAGTGACCTATAGGCTTACAGGGAGATAAGCAGGGGCTGAAAGGCAGCAGAGAGGGGCTTCTAAGGCCCAGTCATCATGACTTGGCATTTCCTAGCTCAGGCTTCTGACCTCCAAGGAGGCCTTGCTGTGAGGAAGAATATGCTGTGAGGAAGAATATGCTATAAAGCAGATACCAGAGCAAGCCTCCTCTGAGAGGACCTGCTGCTTGTTAATTACAGTCAAAGTAAATTAAATGCCCCTGAATATAGAAGGGCCATTTTATTTTTTAATGATGCAATAATGAATATTTTAAAAAATTATCAATCCATAGAGCAAAACCAACAGACTTTGAAGGGGAGAAGGTAGAGTAGACCCTTTCTCAAGTTCTTGATAACTTTGTACAATGGAAAAACACTGAATTTGTCATCTGTGTTGAGAGAATAGATGGCTCCACCACTTTCTGCATGCTTTGCCCTGATAGAGACTTACTGTAATGATGGAGCAAATGCTCACTACAGTTTTATGAGCAATAAGGCTTTAAAGACACAGGGTTACTAACCTCTAAAGCAGAGTTATCCTCTGAGACACTGAACTAATCGCATGATGAATCTGTGCTAGATGGAAGAAAAGTTGACAGGAAAAGCAGCATGTGTCTTGACTCCTCTCCATGCTTCACAACACTTACCTGCAACATGTTTTCAAAAGTAAGCATGTACTGGACTTTTAAAAAAGTTACTCAGGTGCTGTGCTCGGCTATTTTTTAAAATTTCATTTTCTGTTCTTCCACTCATGAGAAAGGAGAAAAGGAGACCAGTGTTGCATTCCAGAAACTTTATTACACACTTTAAAAATGCCTTAAAATTTGTAGGCAAAGTACTTGACAAAGAAGTAAACACATACAAATTAGTGGTACTGAGCCCCAGCATCCATAGGTGCACAGACCAGACCAGGAAAAGCAAGTCTCACTGGCTACCACCATAGTCTTGAGAAGCAGCAACACTTCCGCTAGTTTTCTTCGGAAGGAGCTGAGAAAGGATATTTGGCATAACCCCGCCCTGAGGAATGGTCACACAGGCAAAGAGCTTGTTCAGCTCCTCATCATTTCTCACAGCCAGCTGAATGTGCCTGGGCATGATCCTGGTCTTCCTGTTTTCATGGGCAGCGTTGCCTGCCAGCTCCAGGACCTCTGCCGTCACGTACTCCATCACTGCAGCCAGGTAGATGGCAGCGCCAGAGCCAATCCTGGCAGCGTACTTCCCTCTCTGCAGGAGCCTATGGACACGGCCCACGGGGAACTGCAGACCTGCCCTGGCTGATTTGCTTTTCTTTAATGCTTTTCTAGGGTTGCCAGCCACTGCGTGTTTCTTTCCACGTCCAGACATTCTGACAGGCGAGGAGACACAGAGGGCTGGAGATCTTCAAAACGCTTGGGCTACAGCTAATGGACAGCAAGAGGAGGCAACAGCAAGGTCAGTCCTGCTCTTCCACATCAATGAGAAAGCTCGTGCTTGTCCTGAGGAAAGAGCACACCACACACCACAGTTCATCAACAGCAGGGCTAAAATTTTAACAGTTATTACCCTTTTACAGCCTGCCTTTTAGGAAAAGGATCACATTGCAAAACCTATCAAGGGTTATTGAAGTTGGATATGAAGGGCTCAAAAGAAGACAGGCTTTCCCCTGCTACTTGGAGTGTATTTAGGATTGAGGCACAGTGGGTTTTCTTTAGCAAGATTTTTTTTAAACACCACAACTGTTACCTCAAAGCTAACTTGAGGCCTGTCTCTTCTTTCAAGAGCAATCTGCTCTTGAAAAAAAAACTTGTACTATCAAGTTACAACTTCCCTCCATTTTAAATCTAAAAATGGAAAAATTCTTGCAGCCTACATCTTGTTATATCCCAAATACTCCAGGACATTTTCATACACAGCTTTAAATTAATTCCTTAAGTGGTATTCTCTGGCTTTTATGAGACTACTACTGGAGATCTTCAGTACCAGGAGGAGGATGAATTGATTTGGACAGCACAATGCAGACTGAAGAATAGAAGTTACCATCTACTTCCTCATGATAAAGAAAATCCACCCCAACTAGAATACTCTTCCAACTGGAGTAGCAGAACTACTCATTTAAATAATATTTCTAGTCTGTAAGTAGAGGACAGTTAACTTCCAGCACAGCTGTTTACAACATACAGGAACACCCATCACACATTAATATGCAGGGGCTTTTACAGAGAGGTTTAACTATTTAAGAAAAACTAGAATAAGCTCTGAAAAGAAGGTAAAAAAAAGTAAAAATTAAAAAACCCAACCCAGTCCCTAATAAAGTCCAAGCAAACTAAACCCTATGTCCCTATACCTATTACCAAATAATACTTTTTCTAAATAATTCACAGTACAGTCATACTGTATAATAGAGGCAGCTAACTTACAAAATAACATGAAGCCCACAACCCCAAATCTTCCACAATACATTACAGATGAAAATTACATCACATTACCTTCAAAAAGTCTTATTTTTTCCCAGTCTGTGCCTTGCTACAACCTGCACCCAAGCACAAACAAGCCACATAACACCTTTACCCCGGGCCCAGATTTTTTATTAGCAACTTGTTCTCCTCATCAGCAGGTCACCTGGGTAATTAATGAATCATTTACACATGTGCTTCATCTTCCTTCACCTAATCCCTGATCTGGGGCAAAAAAAGAAATACATTACAGCTGCTCAGCAGCAAATTGGCTGGGGTGAGGGAGAAGAAGGCAGGCTGTCTGCAAGGGCTGAGCCATAGCTACATTTCAGCCTCACTGTGGCACTGCCAGTTCTCACCCACTGGCTGGAGTATTTCTGTCTGCACGCTATGTGTAAAAGCAATCCTCTTCTTCCTGCTGAAGCTTGATAAAAAAAGCACATAGGGAAAATGGGCTTTGTAAATATATTTTTAGTTGGGTGGGAGGGGGAAACTGTGTTTTGCTTTAGACGTGTCCTGGGTAGAGTCATGCTTTGTTCACAATGTGTCTGAGTCTCACCAAGTGATGTGATAGGGCTGCTCCTAAGATTTAGGCTTCTGCCACTTCTTCTGGTAACTCTGTCCCAGATGGGGCTCAGGGTTTACTGTGGTTCTGGTGCTGAGGGTGCTTGGCTAGTTCCTCTTTGTTCACCTGGGCAAAAAGGAATATTTTTGAGCAGCCTTTAAAGAAATGAGTGCTCACTTCCTGCTCATGCTCTTTCTGTGTTTATTTTCTGGCACTCAAAGTGATTTCCAACCAGCAACATACAAGAGCCATGGCTGTGAATGGTATTTCAGCCACAGAAGTTGACTGTTTAAACCAGAGGGTACTCCCAGAAGCCCAGGCTCTGGCAAAATACTCAGACAACAAAACTGTCATGAACAGTTCAGCCTTTGGTTCTGCCTGCCAGACACCAGATGTGGGTCAGAGCCTCACAGCGCCTGCATTTGTGGCACTCACCCACTTTTCCTGCAAGGATGAGCATTTAGTCTAAGCTGAGTGAGGTTGAGTTTCCTGCCACTTCAGGGCATTGAACAACCAGTATGGGGTACCCTCTGCATATCCAAACTGAGGACTCATGTCCTTTCAAAGCACAGCTGTCCTCTTCTCCTAATTCAGAGGCAGAAAAGGTGGCTGTGCCTTCCCTGCAGTAACCCAGACTTAGCACAGGGAAAGTGGCCAGCCCACTTCAGAATAACTGGCTGTTAATGGGATGCCCACGACCTTTAATATGTGCCAGTGGCGTTTCTAAATTTTCATTTCAGGCCCTTGCCAGAGCTGAGACAGTCCTTCCTCCACATATTCAAGCACACTCTTAAGGCCTGCCGGCAGATTCTTTAAGGTTCTTTTATGAGGACTGAGATCTGGGTGAGTCTGAGATCTGTCAATTAGAGAACAGAGAATAAAAGGGGGAGAAGGGAGGCAGGAGCAGGTCTCTTCCCTCTGCTGTGTGTCTTTGAAAAACAAGCTGAAAAGACCTGCTTATTTATTTGAAAGGACAGGCCTAGGTGCCTGTTTGTATGGAATGGGGTATGACCCCAAATGGATTTGGGTCACCACATCTGACACAGTTTTCAGTGTTTTCTGAGTGATACTTTAACACAGACTCAAAACTGAAATAAAAGTAACTATCAAGAGACAAATTTCTGATAATATCAGTTGGCTATGATCCAATCATAACAATATGACAAGGACAGCTGATTATGCCTAATAAGAATAGATAATAGAGGCTTGATTGCTTATTTTATTTTATTTTTTAACAGATCAGGGAAAGAAAATAAGAAGGTAAATCAGTAGGGAAATAACGCAGGGTATGAAAAACAAACAGATAAAAAAGGCTCAGTGAAGTGGAAACAAAAGTTGCAGGGAATCACAGAAATAGACTGGGAGGGACCACAGTGAGCCACCTGTCCAACATCCCTGCTCAAACATGGTTTTTCTATGTCAGACTGGAAGGGGCTTGGAGTATCCTGATTTACTGGAAGGTGTCCACGGCAGGGGGAGTTTCGATCTTCAGGGTGCCTTTCAACCCAAACCGCCCCACGGCCCCTGACGGCCCGAGGCCTCCCACCGCCGGGACCGTCCTTATTAGGCGCTGCGGGAAGCGGCGGCGGTGGCGCCGGGCCCGCCTCTAGTAAATGATAGTAAATGCGGAGTCGAAGGAAAGGTGACCGCGATCAGAGACGGGGGGGGGATGGGCGCGGAAAGTGTCTGGTGTTGTGTTTGCTGAGCTACATTGTTCTTTTTCTTTATTTTCTTCTGTTTCTTCCCTTCTGCCCCTATCTCCCCCTTCCTGTCCCCATAGTCCGTAAGTACTGGGGCTCAGTCGGGGCGGAGAGGTGGTTATATGGCCGTGAACAGACCTGGTGTAAGGCGTACTGACACAAGCTATAGCAAAGCACTAGGCGTGTTCACTTTCTAAACTGGACCTAGGCCAAGACAGCAACTAAGCACAATCAACCTATGGGCGCTTGTCGCTGAGATTTCTTGTATTTTAAATAAAATTGCCTGCTAAATAGGAATATCTCATACTCAGCTTTTCAACAATATGCAGGGGTGTATTGGCCTTGTTTTGCAGGATTTTTTGCAGCTGTTTTACAGTAAAATCTCTGGAATAGTCTGGCTATAAATTTAGATCTGAATCCTTAGCAATGGGCTTGGCTGACAGAGATGGCTTGTTTTTCTCTAAACACTTACATACTCACTCTGTCTTGAATCTAGGAAAGAGACTTCCCATGCACTGAGCGCTAGGTCTGTAAGGTTTGTGCCTGTGTGTGTCTTGTCACTAGTGTCTCCTGATTCAGTGACCCTTGATTTGGTGGCCTGTCCTGCTGAGGGTCTGTAAGGAAGCCTTCTGGCTAGCATGCTTCCCTGTCACCCAGCTGATACCCTAGTCTTTCATTGTACTTGCTGAGAGATGCAGCAGTGGTTACAGTGCTTCAAACTTTGGTACCCAGCCAAGACCTCCTGTATGTGCTGTGAGTGGGATGGAATAAAACAAAGTCAGGCTTCAGGGTACTGCAGGTCTGGGGCTGGAAAGAAGCCTCAGCGACAGGAGGATTTGTACTGTGGCTTTCTGGCACCATCCATCCAGTTACCAGTTTAGCAACTGTGTTAAGTTCTGGAAGTGGTAGAATTCAGCTTGAGGAAATACCTTCCATTTGTTGTTCTGTTCCAGGATCCAAATAAAGACACGGAGTGGAATGACATTCTGCGCAAGAAAGGTATCCTTCCTCCAAAGGAAAATGTGGAGGAACAGGAACGGGCAAAGGAAGAGGAGCAGTTTGCCATCCTTCAGAAATCTCTGGGTGAGTGACCAGCCAACTCAGGCAGCAGCAGGAGAAGCCTTGGAATGGCTCCTGGGGGAAGCTTTCTCAAAGAAATGACCGGCAGCAATGTTTATATGCTACACAACTAAAGTGACTTCAACTTCTGTGGGGGGAAAAAGAAAGTCTTGAGCTCTAAGTTATTCTTAAAGAATATACCTTATAATTAAGTGATTTTATTTATATTCTTACTATTGTTAGGAATAAGCATACTTCAGCCAAAGTGCAATTAGTAGGACGGCATGATAGGTAAGTACTGAATGGGACCATTTTGACCACCACAGTTGTAAACAGGTCTGACCTTACAGTAAATTTCCATGTGGAAACATTATGAGGACATGGAGCACCATTCAGGAATACTCTGCATTATTTGACTTTAGTCTTTAAATTATTTATTTTAGTCTTTAAACAGGCACAGATGTTTGTGCTTAATAAATGTTTGTGACTCTTATTGACTGTTTGTTATGTGATGCTGTTGGAGAACTCTGAGTAGGAGTTAGATACTGATATGTAGATATGAGTATTGATCTTGAAAGTTAGGTGTTGAGAGTTTGGGACAAGGGTCCTCATTCTCCTTTTTAAACACAGGTGTCTAAACCAAAACATTTCCAAGGACTTCATTACCTCAGATAAATTGAATTCTTCTTCTTTAAAGCTTTGTGCCCCACAGGACTGCAATGTATCATTTTCCAGGTCTGTAGGGATACCAAAGCTTCATCTGTGCAGGGTGATCAGCTGTTTATGGTATCAAACAAATACATTCCTCAACACATGGATTCTTCCCGCACAGGAAAGCTTTGTTCTTCATGTCAGCTCTGTATTTTTATGGAAGTAAATGTTTGAAAACTGAAACAGGAACAGTGCAAAGGGAGTCTGCCAGGTGAATGTGCACATTTGTGCTGCAGCTGCTAAGCTTGAAAGCTGGTGCAGGTAGTTGGGTGCTAATCTAGGCAGCCTTCAGCTCAGAGGCCTTTTCCATCATATTCTTTCCATCTGTATCTCTAAAGAACACAACACTTCCTAACAATCCATTAGGAATAATAATGACAGGTGGAGAAAGCTGAGGCTGTTCAGCCTGGAGAGGAGAAGGCTTGGGAGAGAACCTTCCAGTGCCAAAAGGACTGAAAAAAGAGCTGGGGAGAGACTTTTTAGAATCATAGAATAGAACCATAGAATGCCCTGAGTTGGAAGGGACCCACAAGGATCACTGAAGTCCCAACTCCTAATGGCAATTCCAACTTTACAAGACCATGGGGTGATAGATAGGACAAGGGGGAATGGCTTTAAGGTGAAGGACAGTAGGTTTAGATTACATATTAAGAAGAAATTCTTTGCTGTGAGGGTCATGAAGCACTGGAACAGGTTGTCCAGAGACGTTGTGGATGAAATTGTCCCATCGCTGCAAATGTTCAAGGCCATGTTCATGGGCCTTTCAGCAACCTGGTTTAGTGGAAGGTGTCCCTGCCCTTGGCAGGAAGGGTTGGAACTGGGTGATTTTTAGGGTCCCTTTCAACCCAAGCCATTCTATTATTCTGAGATAATATTTTTAAAAATCCACTGCATATTAATCTGTCTTTAGAGTAAATAAATTCTGTTGTACTGATGAAAGTTAATGGGTGTTAATCCTGGAATGAGGTTTTTGCTGATTTAATGTTTCTTCTATTCTAGTGAAAACTTACGAGGACATGACTCTGGAAGAGCTAGAAGAGAATGAAGATGAATTTAATGAGGAAGATGAGAGAGCTATTGAAATGTACAGGTCAGAGCAGCTTGAAGAATTTAAAGAATTGGCTTTAGTGATAATTGGAGAGTCTTTCTTTTATATGCTTTTAGATATTGTTGAAGAGAAAGGATGTTTTTAGGATGGTGGAAGAAGGGGGTTGTGGTTTTGGCCTCTTGTGGAGCTTCTAAGTGTCTTTAAAAGGATAACAGTGTTTGAATTCAGTATCCTTTATCTACAGCATAGCTTTGCAGAGATAATGTGCACCTGCTGAGTGTATGGCCAGGGATCCTGAGAGCTTTGAAAATCACCTCCAGTATTTCCTAATTTTTGTGTGAATGAGATTAAGGTGCTGCAGATTTGCATAATTAGTGTTGGTTTCCCTCTGTCTTGTAATGTCTCTCATGGCTTTTGCCATTTAGTTTGGTAGTGTATTATCTGGAAAACAAATGTCTAGTGAGGCCAGAAATGAGGAAAAAAAGTATTTAACGAAACACAGATTTACTTCTTGCATGTGGCTTTAGCCTATGATGCAAATACAACAGCATGTACAGTGTCATTTTGCTTTTATTGCTCTGGGCTTAGAAGAAGTTTGTAACTTGTCTCTGAAGTCTAGGCCTCAACCAGCTCCTTCAAGTTATGTTCTGTCAAAAAAATGCATCTATTCACAAGACGTCTTTTTCATTCCTGGCTATTCAGGCAGCAAAGGTTAGCAGAAATGAAGGCAGCTCAAATGAAGAATAAATTCGGGGAAGTTTTGGAGATTTCGGGAAAGGATTATGTTCAAGAGGTTACAAAAGCTGGAAAAGGTATATGGGTAGTCTTACACCTCTACAAACAAGGGTAAGATTTTATTTTTTTTTTTAAACCATTAAACCTTGCACTGTCAATATCTGGAAATGCTCCAAGGTAATTGTGTAGTTATTGTGGAACTAAGGACTAATTTTTGAGTTCTAAGAAATAAAAACAAATTAGTAATTTTAATACTGTTGAGTCAAGATTGCTACACTTTATTCTAAAATGATGTTACCATGAAGTGGCTTTTTTATACATCTCTACAACACAACAAGATGTGTACCATACAGCTTCCATAGAGGTAGCTGCTGCCACTGAAATATCCAAGCTTTGGAAGTTATTCTGGATCAAATGCAAGGGGCTGTGAATAGGAAGGATCAATGTGTATTTAGCTTGGTTTCTAGTGGCATACAAATGGAGTGAGCAAGGTTTGCAGTCCTGTCACCATGACAGAAGACCTTGTCAGAAAGGTCTGTTAACGTAGCTAGATTTTTTTGAAAGGTTATAAATACTTGCTGTTGTTCTTTGTCTCTAATTGCCTCATAGGTGTTGATCATCATTTGCATACCTTCTTCCAGGAGCAGTTTTGTTTTTATTTTGCCCTTGCTCATGCAATTTCTAAGTATCTTAAATTCTTAAACCACTTTCCCGTAATACAAAGGGGATAGAGGGGAATGTTGCATTATTAATATATTAAGACAAAAAACCCACCACACACCAGAATCTCCAGTGGTGTTGATCTCCTCTGAATGCTAGAATACAGAATTTGCTTCTGGTACTTCTGTCTTTGCAGAAAGTCATCGATCTGATACTTCTGACATTTCTTCTGGAGCTGTTTACTTTTCAAGTTGTCTCTTGTTGTCTCCTTATGTGTGTCTGTTGCTGTTCTTCGCAGAATTCCACTCTGTGCCTTAATAAATCAACATATGAGTGGGCTTGCAAAGAAGTTCAGAGACGTGAAATTCATCAAAGCTATCTCTACCACCTGCATTCCCAACTACCCTGATAAGAACCTCCCCACGATATTTGTGTACCTGGAGGGAGACATCAAAGCTCAGTTCATTGGGCCTTTGGTGTTTGGTGGCATGAACTTGACAAGGGATGGTGAGTGTCTGCATCTCTGCTCTTCCAAAGGAAAAGCAAAACTGTATTGCTGGGAATGAGAGAAATGAGGCTTAGGAGAAGGGTGGTACTGAAAATGATATTAGATTTTTTTTTTTCCTACCCCTATTGCTCAGCCACATGACTGTTTTGTAAAAGCAGTGATAGGCCAACATGTAGGTATTTGTCTTTTGTGTGCAAGTATTTATGCCCTGTGTTGGGTGAAACAAATTTTGCTGGATATATTAAGGTAAACAGTTCCCATGCATGTTCTTAGGGTGTCTTGGACATGAACGACTGCCCTTGCCTGCAGTGACATGATAATCTGTGCACTTGCCCACTGGATTGTAGGGCTCCTTGTTTCATTTTTAAGATGATGGCGTATGTTTGTCTGTTGTCCCTGACTGAATCATCTTAATTCAGTCATCACAGAAAGCTGTGTACTGAAATTTTGCCACTTCTATGTCTTCCTTCTCCCCTAAGCACATGTGCCTTCCACTGAAGATTAAAGAAAGTGTGAGGTTGTGCTCATTATTCTGTAATATATGAAAGAAATTAGATTTGATGATAGGATTGTCAGCAGCAGTAGGAAAACAGTTTCAACTGAATGTGTTGTATTGACTTTCTACCACTTCTGGGAAGCAATCCAGTCCAATTTGGGCCTACTGTGGGTGGTGAAGTCTCTCTTTGCTGTCTAAAGGAACTAATACTTAGTGATGTAGAGGCAATGGGGTGAATCCTATTTACAAGGTACATCCATGGAAAATACCTGTAATTGAGATGTGTAAATGAAATTTCCACAATTTTTTGCCCTTTATTAAATTTATTCCCTGCCTCTTCTGATTGTGATGAGCTCAATATATGATGGGAGCAGCTGTAATGTATGAGCTGTATTCCTTCACTGGCAATGGATGTGCAAATATGTTTTCTGCCCTTTGTGGTTAGAAGGAGGTAGAGTTCACTTTCACTGGGAGAGTTGCTTCTAGAGCTGCTGCTCTGTATCCATCACCTCTTTTGCACTCCTGGTGGCAAGGTGAGCAGAGTGGCACTGGGGATGTCACTGAGGGTGCGTACAGAGCAGTACCCTGACCTTTGTGCCCTGGGCCGGGACCTGTGTCACCACTAGGGGCTGGGAAAGGAGGGCTTGGCTGGCGCTGGTGTGGTAAACGAGGCAGGAGCTTGGATCTGGGTATGGAAGAAGAAGAAGAGGAGGGCCCTGGTGTGGTGGTGGTGGTAGGATAATAAGGGAAATCACCTGGGGAGCCAAGGGTAGGCTTTTTCCAGTTTGCTCCCCTACATTCATGACTCTTGTTTTGCACTGCACAGAATTGGAGTGGAAGATTTCTGAGTCGGGTGCTATCAAGACAGACCTCGAAGAGAACCCCAGGAAGCAGATCCAGGACCAGCTCATGTCCTCAATCAGGGCGTGTGTCCCAGCCAGAGGGGAGAGTGACTCAGAGGATGACTAATTCCCATGTCTGCATCCGGATTGATGCAGTGCCCTTGCAGCCAGTGTTCCTGCCTCAAGCACTGGAGACACTCCTCAAGGCCTTGCTGAGCCCCAGAAGGGTAGCCTTTCAAGACATTCATTCTAGAAACTCTAGAAACTAAAAACATTTCTGTTTTTTAAAAATTGCAGCTTCACTTAAGATGCTGAAAGACATTTTGTATAGTGAAGCCTGAGTAAATCTTACTCAAAAGTTTTAAAATATAGACGTGAATAGCAACAGGTCTCTTGTTATTATTTTCATAGTAATTTGCTACTTCTAAAAAAAAAATTGAAATATGAAGTGGTCGTAAGTGCACTGTTTTTAACAAGCTTAAGTTGTACAGATCAAATCTAAATAGCTGTCTTAAATAATTGCTTATGGCACTTACCATTCCCTAGCCCACTGTGCTCAGACCTCTTACAGCCTGGACTTCACAGAGAGCTGGGGGGTTGGTACAATGCAAGTGCTTCTGAAGGTGGTGTGTCCTCTTCTGCAGAGATGTGCTGGCTCCAGAGAGACAACATGAGGCTGTAAGCTGGGATTCCAGGCATCTTGAGAGGGGCCTTGAGGACGGCCAGCCACTCCTGGATACTGTTGAGTGCCGAATTCTGCTTTTGAGTTAGCAGAACTATTTTGCCTTTCAGAAGGACTGAACTTCCTGTACCATCTTGCCTGTTAATTGCAGAATAAAATTCAAGATGGTGGTGCTCGTGTGAAACTGCTGATTTCTTCAACCATATCAGAAGTCAGGTGTTCCTACAGTAGTACCATTGCCAAATGGAAGGGAGGATGATGTTTAGGAACAGACATCTTGCTATATTAAAGACTTCCATTTTCCAGTTACAGTAATAATAATAACTGAAGCCTTAGAAGAGCATAAACTTAAATACCACCTTGATTATAGATCTGCTGACATTTGGAGCTGCTTGATTATTTTGGGTTGGATTTAATGTCCACCTATACTTTCAGATGGTCTACACTCAGGATAACAGTCTCCAAGAGCTTTTGCTAATGAGGCTGCCCCAATGACATTTTGTTATACTGCTGGTGGATTCTGTGGGTGGATGGTACAATACTCAATAAGCAGCAATATTTAAACAATTTTTTTATTAGTTTGTAGTGACTTTCAAGCATGATTCCTGCACTCTGAGACAAACCAGTGTGTAGTCCAAACAACAGCTAACCATTCCTTCAGGTGAGGATGTAAGATCCTGACGGAGAGCTTCCTCTTTGAGATGTGAATGGTGATTTGAGTTTCACTTGTCTCCTTTCTTTTGTCTTAGGTGTTTTTTGACAGAGTACATAAAATATTAATTTTGTGCAAGTGAGCCAAATGCAGCACAATAGAAGCTGATAGATTCTGAATTTTATTACATAGGAGCACTCTTCTCATGACACAGGACTGTCCTAAGTGCAGACTTGATGCTTCACTGTGCTCACCTACAACTTCGTACAGTCTAGGAAAAGGATGACTCTTCTCTGTAGAAGCCTGCACTGCATATTTTACTTATCTTTTGCTTTTTCACTCTGAATTGTGCTTTTGAGTGACCTCTGATCACATGGACTGCATTCCTTTTGGAAAAACTAGAGGAGAAGCTAGGGGTGAATAAAAAGGAGGGGTGGGACTTCAGACTGTTTCCTTCACACTCTCTTCTTCCAGCAGGGTCTTAAAACCACAGTTGCCTTCCCCTTTTGTTTGTTGTCTAATGGGGTTTGTGAGCTCTTGGACAACCAAGAGGACTGAGGTCCTGAAGAGGACCAGGGCTGCATATGGATTGTCCCAGGCTGCTTAGCTGTGGGGAAGCAGATACCCTGTGCCTGGGAATGATAACTGTGACACCCTCAGGCAGCAGTTTTGTCTTTCCTCAAAAAGAAGCAGAACTGATCTGCCTGGGAGATTTATGCAGGAAACTGCCTTGGAGAGAGGGAAGAGTGCCTGCTCCCTGCTGTCAGGGCTACAGCAGGGGCTGCCTTGCAGTTTCATAGGCAGTTGTATTTTGGAACAGTAATTCAGGAGAAATTGAGATATTTTGACCTCCATCTTTTATCCTCAACTGCATAATCTGCTGAAAGGTTGGGGGATGCCATGATCTGCCTGGGAGATTTATGCAGGAAACTGCCTTGGAGAGAGGGAAGAGTGCCTGCTCCCTGCTGTCAGGGCTACAGCAGGGGCTGCCTTGCAGTTTCATAGGCAGTTGTATTTTGGAACAGTAATTCAGGAGAAATTGAGATATTTTGACCTCCATCTTTTATCCTCAACTGCTTAATCTGCTGAAAGGTTGGGGGGTGGCCCCTGGAGGATGCCATGCTGAAAGGGGCAGATGTGAGAATCATCACAAACTAGAAGAGGCTGAATATCCTGCCCAACTGATGAGACCCACATGGAGCATCATTTCAAATGGTATGTATGCTTCTCACTCTTTGGCTAGGTGTGAAAACAGCTTTTTGTAACATTATTATTTTTCCTGCCAATCATATTGCCGTGTTCAAGGCCTTTAGTAGAAATTAGGTCTCTGCAGGAAACAGATAATGAGGTCTGTTTAACCTTTTGGCAGAGCATGAGCTGTGGAAACACAGTTAAGGGAATGAGCTTTAGCTTAAAAGGAAGCTGGCTGCTAAATAGCAAACCAAAACAGCCAATTAATATGCATTGCAGAAAGGGGCAATATAATGGGAAAAAATAACTGGAGAGTGTGAGCTCTCATTTGCCAAGGCTTGGGGCACTGTTGCTAAATGCACTATCAATATTTTTTAAGCCTATCAACAGTTAGTGTCAGATCAGTGCTCACTTTTCATCGGTCTGAGAAGAGTCTTTGTCAGCTATCATGGGAGAAATCAGAGGCAGTGATCCTGTCAGCAGTGCTGAGGCTTGTGTGGGTTGCTGTCCTGCATAGTGCTGTGGGAGCATCCCTGACTCATCCCACACTGCAGCCATGCCAGTGGGTGGTGGCAGGGGGAGAAGTAACCTTGGGCCATAGATGGGAGCAGATGATTTGCCATTAGTGGACAGTGACTCTGGAGTTTTTTGTGTGAAATGTAAGTGCACCACTAGTAATAAAACAGTTCTCTTCATGGTGCAAGTCTGAAGTCTGCTGCTTGGCCAGGCCATGTGGTCAGTTGCATTAGGTTTGTGGCAGGCTGCCCTGATCTGGGTAAGATGCTGTTCTGATTTTTCTTTCCACCCAGATCTTTTATTCACAATACGAACTCACCAAACCTGCAGGGCGATGTTTTACATCAATTTCACCTGCAGAGGGACAGCCAGGTGTTGTGCAAACAGGGCAAAGCCGTGGTTAAGCTGCTAGTTCTCCAGGTCCTGAATCCAGCCATGTCCCACAGTCAGGGACCTGTGCATAGGCAGAAGCATCTGCAGGACTGTGGCTGCAGAGGGTGGAATAAAGGAGAGTCCATTGAATGGCTATGCTGTCCTGTACTTGTTTCGGCCAGGTCCTCCTTTCCCAGGGCTCAACTCAGCCTCTCCTGCCTCCTCCTTGTGGCTGTCCTATCACCTGCTTTCCCAGATATGCTCAGGTGGATATTTGGTTGGCCTTGTTGCTGAGAACAATTTAACTCACTGGCTCACTATGAGAAAGCCGAGTGTGTGCATCCAGCTCTGTTGGATCAGTGCACAGGATGGGCGCACAGTGCTAAGTCACAACTTAGCCTGACAAATGAACCACTAATATTTGTCTTTGTGGAGTTCATGAAGAAAGTCATTCTGATCTACAGTGATTCTCATGAAAGTTAAGATGCACTTTTTATTCCTGTTTTAAAAACTCAAGTTCAGAATAATTTGTCTTTATGCTCTGGAAATCTGGGGAGGTTAATCTGCTTCCTAGGCAATGAGAAATGAAACTTCTAACAGAAACGTCAGTAACTTGGTAACTTGCTCTTCTTTTGCAATGGGAGTGAAATCCCTCACCTTTATATGAACGTTTTGCTGCATATTTGTTGGGATTGGATCATGTCTAAAGAAACTTTACTCTTACTGAGATCAAAGGAGAATGCTTCGTTCTCATTGCTAAAACTAACATATTCCCTGTCAATTGTTTGGAAGGCAGTTGAACTCATTTCTTATTACAGCCCATTATAAATCACTCCTCATTTCAATCTCATTTAGTTAATTCAGTCATCAAAGGGTTGTAGGAGGCATAAAGTATTTTATTGATGTATTTAGCTCTTCACAGAATTAAAAAGAACTATTGAACTTCTTAGATCTCTTTACTTGCAGATGGCTCTTGTGATGCAGAAAAAAGCTTCATTCCCTCCTGCAGAAGGCAGAACCATTAAAAATGAAAACGAAGCAGCAAGAGACACTCAGCAAGAGATTCTCTCCAAGCTTCTGTGGGAGACTGATGAACAATATAACTTGTTTTCATATACCATGTTAAAAAATTCATCTCCTGACAACATGCCAAATTTTTTAAGTCTTCATCATATTAATTTGAATTTACAGAGCTGACTGAGGAAGCTGAGGTCTGATAAAAATGTCAGGAAAATCTCAAATAAGTCTGAAGTTGTTTCTATTTAACACTTCAAATGTTAAAATAAGGAGGAAACTGTGATCTAAGGCAGAACAGTCCATATAAAAGTTATTAATGGACAATGAGAGGTATGTAATAATGCATATTTGTAAGCCTCTGCTGCAATATGTCTGCTACAAAAAGTAATTCCAGTATTCCATCAAACACAAAGCTGATTCTTGTAAAGGCAAAAGTTACAGCATTTGCTAGTGAGAGCAAGTCTTGGATTTTCAGACAGCCTTTGCCTACCCCCTCAGAAACTGACTCATGCTATAACATGTGTCATCCTGATCCCCCTCCCCTCAATATCCGTGGGAATACTTTCATTTACAAGGCGGGCAGCAAAGACAGGTACTGAACTCCTTCTTGCATGACTGCAGCTTATCCTTCTGTGAATTAGTACAGACCATTTGGGGGTGTTGGGAAACTTCATTAATTATCTGTCCATATGCAGATGACTTCTGTTAAGCTGAAAGTAGGGATATCCTGGACCCTCCAAGTTGGCTGTCACTTCCTGTGGTTTAGAGGTTGGCTCAGGTGATTAGAAGAGAAATTGTGAGGGCTGCCTCCATGGCAGAGAAGCCCAGTAACAGACCCTTGCAGAGATCTGCCACAACATTAAGACATCCACTACAGTCTGAAACAAGAAAGTGCTGGTGATAAAAGGGTGCAAAGTTTTGTGGGATGTAGCAAAAGCAGGAGAACATGCAA